CGGGGGCCGCGCGGAGGCCTGGGGGCTGCGCGGGGGCGCCTGGCCGGGGAGGCCGGCTTGGGAGCTGGAGGGCTGGGTGACCTCGGGGCCCGGGGGGCAGCGCACCCTAAAACGCTGGGGAGTGGCCTTGTTTCCACGGGCAGCTCTCCCCGCGGGACATGGGGCAGGCTGGGGACGCGCCGCGAACCCCGAGGCCCCAGAGGTGGGCGGTGGAAGCTTTGGGGTCCGAGGGGGAGGGAACGCGCCAAGATGGCCCAGGTGAACTTGGGCTGGGAAAAGGGAGGATGGAGAGGTTTGTTCCTTCCCGCTGTGCTCCGAGCTGACGTGCCGCAGAAGCTTCACAATAAACTTTGGATGTCTGCAGTGCTGAATGGTGTCAGTGCTGAAGGAAGAACAGAAAACACACCTTTGAGGGATGTAGGCCTTTGAGGGCACTGAGTGAGACCAAGGTTTCCCGTGTTGAGAATTATTTGTACCCCAGTCCTAGTGAACCTAAGTAAGCTGAAGTACACGTGAGGGATCATTCTAGAATCTGATTGGTAAGTGGCACATATTTTCCATGAAGATTCCAGTAGTCATGTAACTATGTAATGATGGAGGTGGCAGACCTAAACCTTCCTCTGTGTTGTCTGGAAGCGCCACATTGACTTGGCTGGAGGACGTTTTCGAGCTTTGACACTAAGTGTAGATTGGAAATTGGGATAACATGTATGTAACCACGTTTTGACTGTGTCACTTGTAAGTCTGGTTTTGTTTCGCAACATTGACGAAAACCATGCATGCCCAGTGCAAAGTGGTTGATCTGGCAAGAAATGTTTTAAGTCCTCTCAACAGCCAAGCTGCCAATTTGTTATATTTTATTTTAAATTGAGTAGCCCTTAGGTTGGTTCCCCCCACGCTTCCTCTTAAAATGTTTAGTATGTGTGTCAACTTTTAATGGGAGGAAAATCCTTTTCCCGACAGCTTTTCTTCGAACATGTCTTTTAGAGAACGCCATGTCATCAGTGGGATCACACCAGGAACAGTTGTCCCAGTCAGACCCGTCTCCGTCTCCAAACTCATGCAGTTCCTTTGAGCTGATAGACATGGATGCTGCCAGTTTGTATGAACCGGTTTCTCCTCATTGGTTTTACTGTAAAATCATAGATTCTAAGGAAACCTGGATTCCTTTCAACTCTGAAGACTCACAGCAGCTGGAAGAGGCGTATGGCTCTGGTAGGGGGAAGAGATGACTTTCAGACAAAGACTTACTATACCTCTCTCAAACTAATGTAATTGTCCTCATCATGCATCCTATTAAAGGCTTTAGATTCTAGATCTTTTTCTTCCAGCTAAGTAATCTCCTACAACCTGGTTCTCTATTTTTTCAAACAGTACCTTGTGTAAGTTCTGCATACATTTATCTACCCAATAATACTTCTTATATTTTAACTTATATTTCAGACATAGTTTTTATTTATAAAGGCTGTGTATGGGGAGGGGTATTGGATCACAGAAGAATGAATTCTCTTGTCGATTGTTTCTTTTGAATAGTGCTATTTACCCCTAAATGCCATGATGATTGTCAATTTATCTTTTAGTCCCTCAAGCCAAAAAAAAAAATCAAGAGAGGTCCCCCCCCCCCTTTAAGAGACATTGCTACTTCTCCTTGGAAGAAAATGAAGCAGTGTTTTGGTAATACGTTTAATGTTTCATTAAATCCAAGAATGCTTTCGCCGTTTATAATGTAGTTAGTGAAAAAAGATACCAATTAAAAGGAATCTTTTTCATTCATGTGTTTTACAACATTTAGAGTCTTAAATCAGAACTAAATCGGGTAGGGTTGGGGGTTTTAATTTAAAATACTTCTTTTCCTCTTCCCAATTTTTGACAGGTAAAGATTGTAATGGGCGAGTTGTCCCTACGGATGGGGGCAGATACGATGTTCATCTGGGCGAGAGGATGCGGTACGCTGTATACTGGGATGAGCTAGCAACAGAAGTAAGACGGTGTACCTGGTTTTATAAGGGAGACAAGGACAATAAATACGTGCCCTACACAGAGAGCTTCAGCCAAGTCTTGGAGGTAATAGGGTCGCCTTGCAAAGTGAAGCCTTGCTTGCTTTTTTTTTGGGTCCTTATTTAATATTTTCTTCCACTTGTGATTTGTGAAATTTTCTGAAAGGGTTTTGTTGGATCTACGTCACAGTTTATAGCATTTCTTTTTCCGGGGTGGGGTAGTCATTTTTAGGATAAAATTTATTTAGAGTAAAGTCGTTTGTTGGAGTACTCAGTACTCAAATAAGTCCTTAGGAGTAACTTTGCGATTATGGAAAATAATAAAAACAGACAGATAGCGGGGCACAGCGTCTCCTCGTCCCATGTCAGGAATGAGAGGGAATGTATTTTCCAGTGGGTATATATAGTGGGGCTTACAGATCTTTCAGAAGGCGTGCACATCATACAGCCAACATAGCATATAGGCAATGCGTAATATCATAAGTGGGTAACATAATAAATAAATCACCATCTTGACCTAGTGCTAGTTGACCCCTAAAACCCCTGAGCCCTCCCCAGGGGTAGTAATCTCTAATCGGTATGGGCAAGAGTTGTCAAAAGAGAGTTTGCTACATTTTACTGTGGGTGGGCTATAGAACCTGATTGCTCTGATCTACAGACAACCTCCAGCACAAGGAATAGCGAGACATGAGTGATTCATCTATGATGGAAGCTCCTGTAAGGCTCCTCCTTAGTGGAGGGCTATTGCAGGGCACATTATTTGGCCTGGAGAATGTGTATTTGAAAACATTTCTATCTCGGAACAATGGAGATATTTCTCAAAACAGGGCTAGTTTTCTCTACCCGTGGTTGCGAGTGTAGAAATAAGGCCAAATACCCTCTACCAAGTGCTCAGTTTTCCACAGTCGTTTTCAGATTTTAAAGTAATACATAAATGATTTCTTTCTCCAGTAGTAATTGTGGTTGGTATTTAAACCGGGGTCACAGGATTGATCTTTTTGACTTAAGTTTTCTTGCTCTGAAAACTATCTGAAATTTGCTCTCCTCACATTGGAGTAGGGTATTCTTCCTGAAATCCTGGTTCATCTAGGAGATTCTCATGACTAAATTCAGTTATAATAGAAAAACTATTCAAGAAATTAATGCACTGTGTTTTGTTTTCAGGAAACTTATATGCTTGCTGTAACTCTGGACGAATGGAAAAAGAAACTAGAGTCTCCCAACAGAGAAATTATCATTTTACACAATCCAAAGGTAAAGTGAATATAATCAAAAGATTAAGTGCATTATTAATGAAAGCCAGGGCTTCAAACTAGCTCAGTCTGCTTCCATTCCCTGCTGAAAATCTGTGTTCCTGGAAGAACTACCTGGGGCTCTTGCTAAGCTGTCTATTCGGATTCAGTTTGTCTGGGGTCAACTAGCTGCCATTCAGTCAATTCTGACTCAGTGGCCCTGTAGCAGAAAGCCTCATGGTCTCTCACAGAGAGGTTCCTGGCCTCCAACTACTGACCTTATGATTAGCAGCCCAATGTGGAAGGCACTTGGCCTGGGATCCTTCTGCGGTAGGATACAAAAGAGATCCTTTATTAAGACTTCAAAGGACCAAGACACCGACACATCATCTGGATGAGGGGAAGCCATTAGCACAAGGTCTTAATAGTGTTCAGGGATTCACAGGATGTTTGTTAAATAACGCAGGAAACAAACCTGTCACAAATTTATGATTGCGGAGGAAGGAGGGGGAAATATGGGGAGATAATAACAGGGGCTCAAGTGGGAAGAGAATGCTTTGAAAATGACGATGGCGGCATATGTGCAAATGTGCTTGACACACTGAATGAATGTATGGATTGTGATAAGAGATGTAAGAGTACCCAATAAAAGTATTTTTTTTAAAAGATGATTGGTAGCAGATCAATACATCACAGTTATGAGTAGGACTACCGTAGCAGGAACAGCCATGATTAGAACATGTACATGATGTTAAATAGAAGTGCCTACAAGATTGGTCCAGGACCTTCCAACCAAGGCAGTCAGGGCACAATCGATAGGGCATGATCCTGACTGTGAGACCCTAGTGTGGTCCCCAGTACTGTGTTCTCCGTCAAGGACACAACCAGGCAAGCCCGTCAGAGACACTGCCCCTCCTTGAGCCGACTAGAGAGGGGTGAAGAGGCCATCTACTTTCCTAGGCACTCTGCCTGAGGGTTGATGATCTGCAGGAATTCATTCCTTGGAGGCTTAATCTATGTGGGATCTCCACAAAAGGATTTTGGCCTATTCCTGTCATCTGAGGAGCCTGGGTCGTGCAGTGATTATGTGTTCAAAACCAGCAGCTCCACAGGAGAAAGACCTGCCTTTCTACTCCTATAAACAGCTACAGTCTTGGAAACTCACAGGGGTCACTATGAGTCAGCATTGACAAAGGCAGCGAGTTTGGGGATTTTGGTTTACTGTCATCCGTAGCCTTCTGGCAAACAAGGTGCCCAAAATAAAACTCTCATATACTTCCGAGAAAGGTAGATTTTCAGCTGGGGTTTGAACAAGAGTGACTCAGCCAGCTATAAGTCTTGAGGAAAAGAGTTTCTTTTTTCTAGGGATTCCACTCGGGAGAGTTGACACAAGGAGGCCCGATGGTATACCGTTAGGAACTGGGCTGCTAACTTTAAGGTCAGCAGTCCAAAACCACTAGCCTCGGGAGAACGTGGGCCTCTCTATTCCCATAAACAGATACACTTTCAGAGATTACAGGGGCAGTTCTACCCTGCCTTATCGGGCCGCTATGAATCAGAATTGACTTGATGGCAGTGAGTTTTTTTTGAGTTTGACTCTCTTGACAAATTTTGTATTATATTCTGAGTCAGAGTCAACTTGAAGGCAGTGGGATTCTCACTTATGAAATGTAAAACTCATTCAGCCCGTTCAAAAGACCTTTTCTTACAGAAAAGTGAACCATTACGGATTAAGAAAATCACTGAGCTATGTCTTCCGTGTGTAGGACATTGTTGGGAGATAGGTTCACCTGATGCATTTTCAGGGTTCTCCTTTCAGGGTATGAATTGCATACCAAGATTCCAGTTGAGACTTACCTATATATTTTACCTTGGGTTTCTTTATTACTCTCATCTTTTCCATTTAAGCTCATGGTACATTACCAGCCAGCGCCAGGGGCTGATGAATGGGGTCCAACACCCACCGAGCAGGGTCGACCAAGAACAGTGAAGAGAGGACTTGAGAACATTTCTGTTGACATTCATTGCGGTAATGTTGTTCATTTGCTTTTATCTTAATGTTCCAGTGTACTTGTTGCTTGTTTATGTCTTAAATTGTGACCATCTGTATGGCCTTGGATGGCTTCAGAGTTTCCAAAATAATTTTACTGGTCATGGGCTTAGCTGTGATCTTTAGTTAAATGGGTTGATTCTGAGTAAAGCGTAGTATTGCTTCATCCATCAGGAATCTCAACAGATGCAAATGGCTTCTTCTTAGGTTAAACACATAGGGTGAGCTTGGGTCCAATTTGGTGGGTTTGATTAGGGCATTGGTTCTCAACCTGTGGGTCGAGACCCTTTTGGGGGTTGAACGACCGTTTCACAGGAGTCGCCCGATTCATAACAGTAGCAAAATTACAGTTAGGAAGTAGCAATGAAAATAATTTTATGATTGGGC